CTTTACTCCCTTCCTTGTAAGCTGTATCATTGGTCCAGTTATTTTGGAGAATCCTTCTATGAATCTCCGATAATATCCTGCTAATCCTACAAAGCTCCGTACCTCGCCAGCATTAGTTGGTGCTTTCCAGTTGGTTACTGCTTCCACTTTCGCTGGATCTACCTCAATCCCTTGGGCAGTGACTATATGTCCAAGAAATCCAACTCGTTCAAGCCAGAACTCACTCTTCTTGAATTTAGCATACAGCTTCTCCTTACGTAATACATTTAATGCTATTCTTAGGTGCTCTTCATATTGCTCCTTACTCTTGGAATATATCAGAATGTTATCAATGAAGACTATGAAAAATTTATCCAAGTACTGATGAAATACATGATTCATCAAGTCCATGAACACTGCAGGTGCATTGGTTAGCCCAAACGGCATCACTGTAAACTCGTAGTATCCATAACGAGTTCTGAAAGTTGTCTTGGGTATATATTTTGACTTTACTTTCAATTGATGGTATCCCGATCGTAAGTCGATTTTGGAAAATACCTTAGCTCCTTTCATTTGATCTAACAGATCCTCGATTCTCGGGAGTGGGTATTTATTCTTGATAGTTAATCAATTTAACTCCCTATAATCGATGCACATCCTGATGCTTCCATCTTTTTTCTTCACGAACAATATCGGTGCACCCCATGGAGATACACTTGGCCGCATAAAGCCCATATCTAGGAGTTCTTGCAACTACTTCTTTAACTCTTGTAGTTCCTTCGGGGCCATTCGGTATGGGGCTTTTGACACTGGTGCCGCTCTGAGAATTAGGTCTATGGTGAATTCCACTTGCCTATCTGGTGGAATACTAGATAGATCTTCTGGAAACACATCTACGAATTCCTGTACTATTGGTACATCTTCAACCTTTATCGTCTCTTGTTTTCCTCCTGAGATGTTTACTAAATAGCATTGACATGTTTCTTTTCTCAACATCTTCTCAACTTGTAAAGCCGATACTAGTTAAATAAGGGGTTTCTTCTTCATTCCAAGGAACGTAAATGGTTCATCTTCTGATTTCTGAAATGATACCTCCCTTTCCTTACATCGGATGGTGGCGTAATTACAACCCAACCAATCCGTGCCTAGTATTATATCAAAATCCTTCATTTCTATCATGTATAGGTTAGCTTCCATTGGTTTTCCCTCAATTTCAATACTTACTGATTTGGCTCTTCTATCAGTACTCAAAGGGTTGCCTGATGGAATGCTAACATCTAATGTATCTTTCAACTTATCACAGGTAATACTAGATTTAGCCATAAAAGTTGTCGATACAAAGGAGTGTGTGGCTCCTGAATCAAACAATACATAAGCAGGTGTATTGGCTATCAATAAAGTACCTGCTATGACGTTCGAGTTTTCCTTTGCATCTTTCTGAGTCATTGCAAAAACTCGTGCTCTCCCTTTCTAGCTCTGGTCATTGTTATCATCTTTTTTCGGGGTAAATGTGGGACAATCCTTAAAAATATGCCCTAACTTGCCACATCTGAAATAGACATTCTTCCCTTGCAAACACACGCCACGATGCGTCTTTCCACAGTTAGGACATGGCTCTATAACTGGCACAATGCTCTTGTTGGCATTGGCTCCGCCATTAGCTTTCTTGTTCTGCCACTTGTCCTTTCGCTGGTCCTAGCCATTACATTTCCTTTCACCCACACACAAAATAGGAAGAAGAGAGAAACTCCATGCATCACGGAGCAAATGCTCTGTGATGCACAGAGCAATTTTGCTCCTGGGTGCTAGGAGCAATATTTATTTATTTTTTTGTGTCAATTACTTTTGTTCTTTTTTTTTTCATTGGTTGATTTATTTAGTTTTTTTTTATAAAAATCTACTATAAATCTTTTGTATTCTCTCAAAATTCATTTTGATAACTATGTTATAAATACATTGAATGATCTAAATGAATATCGAAAATAGTTAAATGTACATCAAATGTGTATGTTAAAAAATGCGTATAACTCATTTTTTCTTAAAAAAAAATCAATTATTTTATTAATGTTTTTAATTTTTTCGTGACAATAATTTTTGATGTCATTTAAAAATGAACTTTTAAATTTTTTTAATGTCAAAAGAGATATCATTTAAAAAATTAAAAATTTCAATAACGAGCTAAATTTATAAATTCATCGAAAATTTTACGGTAGTCGAATGTATAAATCTTCTATATTCTCTCAAAGCTCATTTCAAGAACTATGTCATAGATTCATCGAATGATCTAAATGAATATCGAAAATAATTAAACGTACATCAAACGTGTGTGGTAAAAAATGTGTATAACTTTTTTCTTTAAAAAAATCAATTATTTAATTATTATTTATTATTTTTTCGCCACAATTTTCTTAATAAAATTTACATCATTTTCTTAAAAAAATATTATGTGGTATGACGTCAACTATTTTTTGATATAAAAATTCAAATAAAGCAAAACAGCGCGAGTAGGAAAACCATTAGTAGTGATTTCAGGAGTGAAGTAAGATATTATGAGATATTCAAGGGTAAAATAGAGAAACACAAATAAGTCCTGAATGAACAGTGCTTGCCATATTCACTCTTTTATTATAGTAGGGAAAAAATATTATTTTGTATGATGTCAACTATTTTTTTTTTTGACGTAGGAAGACCATTAATAGTGATTTCAGGAGTGAAATATTATGGGATATTCAATGGTAAAATAGGAAAACACAAAATACACATCTGGTCAGCCGGTGAAAGACTATATTGAGTCTGCTGTCAGACACGTTCTCCTTAGACAGGTTGTACTACCAACATAGATTATAATTTAAGGCTTTGTTTGATCCACATGATTTGAAAAAAATACATTTTTAAACACTTATTTCACATCATTTCAACCACACCTATCGACAGCAGGCACTATCGCCTCACAACCTAGGAAAGGCTCTTAGCGCGAAAGAAATAAGGCTCAAAATCTGCTACCTTTATATCAAAGTCAGACTATAGAATAGGACTCCACTCTCATCAGAGGAATCTCTTTTCATTAAGATAGATAGCGGTAGGGGGTTGAGTAAATCCGTGCCAGGATTGATTTCCTACTTCCAGCTGAATGGGACTGGTTAAATAAATATGTCAAAAAGCTTTGTTCAAATTAGTTGTACAAGGACATTCGGCTTATCAGAGGCAATGGCCTTCGCCTACGTCAAGCTTCGGTAGAGCTCATAAAACACTAAAGGAAGTGACTCTTTTTATTAGTTTAGTCATGAACCAAGTAAGTGTTTCCTATCGAATGATTCCATTTTTTATGACAAAGGGGGCTTACCCTCAACAACTCGCTCTCTCTTTCAATCTCCTTTTATGTAGCTCTTACGTGGAAAGTCTTCCACTTGTACCTTTCTATCGAATCTAAAGCAAGCAAGCTATATTACTTTGGTCCCGGGCATCTACCATTATACCCACAATGATTGACCATCCAATTGCTATTCATAATGGTAAGGAAATCTTTAAAGAACTAAGAATTTTTTTTCTTGGTCTTAGGCCTCGTTTTCATACTTGACACGTGCCTGCCGTTTCGGGTGCCTTGAGCATTGTACAAGGACGTGCTGTAGGAGTAACCTATTACCTTTTGGGTGGAATTGCCACAAGCCCCTGTCTTTTATGACATTTCGAAAGTGATTTTTCCTTTCTGTCTAGTTTTCCCTGTCAAGTTGAAGAAGCTGTGAACATAAAATAATGTTACATGCAAATTCAAAATCGTTTTTTATTTTTTAACCACATATTTCTCATCATTACACTATTCAAAAATACATTTTTATGAAAATAATGTGGCTCAAACAAGGGCTTGAAATTTGGTTAATTTTCCAAAGCTGGTTGTTCTTAAGCTTGATCTTCAAATATTGTAATCATGAGATCTAAGAATGTATCATTATTTTCATTATTTTTCAAAATGCAAGTTCTTTGTTACCCTATGCCATCTTTCATGCTTCAATAATATTCAACAATTCATAGCTGATTACCCACTTGGATTTCATTATACACTTTTGTTTCTTTTACTCATGTAGTTGCAGTTGAACTACAAATATTTTCTAATTAAGATATTAGCTGACAAATGAATTTTGTGACTGCAAATTAAGATTCATATTAATCAGTATTTCTCATTGTTCCCTTTGTAAAACCAATTTGAATCTTTGTAATGCCACCAATCTCATCTCTATCTAATTATTGCAAACCTGCTTTCATATTTTTATTTCAATTGTAGGAAGCTTTTACTTAATTTCCATGTCAACTGAAGAATTTTAAAAAAAAAAAAAGAGAGACAGAGAACTTGAGAAAATCATCATTTCCAAGTCCATTACTGTATTCTATTTTATAAATTACTGCTCCTTGTTTGTTCAAATTTAAAATTAATCGTTGCATCTTTATAGAACATTATTAACTTTATTCAAATGCGTTTTATTAAAAATTTCCATCAATTCTTAGCATTCAAGACACTAGTAGTACCCTTAAAATAATACAATCCGTGCATTGCATGGAGTATAAACTAGTATTTTTTTTTTTTAAATCACTATTTTAAAATACATTTTTAACAAAAAATGGGACTCAAATAAGGACTTCGTTTGCATGAAGAGACGTGTTAAAATTGAGTTATGCTATAAGTACTGGGTTTTTGCGTAAAAAAAAAATTCACAAACACAAGTGTCGAAACATTATTCAACAATGGGAAAAAAATATAAAATATAGACGGACAGGAAAAATACACCATAATTTTTAGAGACTTTTTAAAAGTTTACAAAGTCTCAGTTGAATACACTGTAACTTTTAGAGATTTCTTAAAAGTTCATAAAAGTTTCAATTGAATACATCAATACTTGAATTTCAAAAAATCTCAATTGAATACCGCTAAACTTTTTAAATCCCAAAAATTATTAAAAGTCTCAAGTCTCAATTGAATACCCTTATCAAGTTAGACTTCTTTAGAATAAAGTCCGAAAATATCAAAGGCGTCAAACCAGTCCCGCATTTCCACAGATCTATAATATAATATTTATTCCATTTTATTTATCTTAAAACACTTGCATTGAATACAAAGTCATCCGCTTTCCCCATCTTTGCTTCTCCGTTGTTCCTGCTTCCTTCAATCGGTAACTTCAGCAATAGTTTTAATTTTTATCACTTTTCTGCTTTTACTCGTACGATCACGATGATCTGTTGATTTGTTACAATATGTGCATGATACTCTGAAAATTTATTTTCTTTGTCGTGTATGTGTATAGTGCTTGTTATGTTTGCAGCTTCTGGCTCGATTGTTCATTTACTTGAAAATTTATTGTTTTAGTTTATTCCATTATCTTTTTATTTTCAGGTTTCAGGTTTTAGTGTTATGCTCTGTATATATATGTTTATGTATATTAATTGACATAGTTATTATTTGTAAATTAATTTAGAACAAAAATAGTTTCTTTTTTCTTTTTGTCTAAATGTATTTAATTGAATCCAATGGAAAAGAGACTTGTTCGACAGGGCTCAGCTTTATTTTAATTGCTAATCTTTCTCAAATTCTGTTGTACTATTACTGGACATGGCATTATGTAAACTTTAGGCAAGAAAAATAAAAAGGAAAATTGGTGTGGCTTGGGGGAAGGGGGGGGGGGGGTATAGCTGCATGGTTGGCTAGAATATTTGCAATATAATTTGCTAATTGGACGCCGACAACCGAAGGATACTGGATACATACTCTACTTGTATAATAACTAGGATTTTGTATCTTTACTAGTTGAATGAATACTAAAAGATAAAGCGTATAATGTCCAAATCTGAAGTTGTTATTGGTGAACACACAAAGGTCACTGACTGTGATAGAAGAGAGTTTGTTGTCTGTAAACATTTTAGTAATGATGCATGCATACATTTGGAAGTATAGTTCAAATATGCTACAATTTGTTTCTCTTTAAATCCCGGCTTCTAGTATTCTTTCTTTCCATTTCATAAGGGAGTGCTGATGCTTCTGGGTATCTATTGACTTCACTGTACAAGATGAATTGCTGAATCCTCTTTTTCTTCTGGGTGAAGATTTTTTATGATATATTGCTTTCTTTTAATTTAGCAACATAAGAGTATTTCCTACCACGTCTTCCTGAATTTATATATCTGTGGTCTTTTGGCAGATAATTTGATTCCACAAATGGGTGAAATTGATATAGATGATGACTGGGAGTTCACTTCACCATCAAATGAAGTTCGTACAGTAGTTTTGGTTGGACGAACAGGCAATGGGAAAAGTGCAACTGGCAATAGCATTCTTCAAAAGAAAGCATTCAAGTCTATGTCTAGCTCTGCTGGTGTTACTAGTACTTGTGAGCTGCAGACAACTGTGTTGGAAGATGGCAAGATACTGAATGTTATCGATACTCCAGGTACTCAATTCTGATATCATTAACTACTATATTTATCTTGACAAAAAAGCAGGATTGTTTGATTTTTCTGCTGAACCAGAATTTATTGGGAAAGAAATTGTTAAATGCATAAATATGGCAAAGGATGGTATCCATGCTGTTCTTGTAGTTCTGTCTGTCAGATCTCGATTTTCAAGAGAAGAAGAAGCTGCTGTTCAGAGCTTGCGGAAATTCTTTGGTAGCAAAATTAGTGACTATATGATAGTAGTTTTCACTGGTGGAGATGACCTGGAAGAAAATGATGAAACATTGGAGGATTACTTGGGTCGTGCCTGCCCAGAGCCTTTGAAGGTAGGCCGGAATTATTGTTTATCAAGTGTGTTGTGTAATGCTCTTAACAGGTTAATAATTTTGAATTTTCTATCTAGTCAAACTCTTGTAAATAAGCTTGGTAAACAAAGCAAATTACCTAGGAACTTATTGTTCTACGAAGCTTTAGTATTGAAATGTGGGCCAATCAGTGTTAAAACAGACAAATTTAATGCCAATGTAAAAGAAATTTGTATGAATTTGACTATTTTCACTCAAAGAACCTTGTGCATACCTTCAACTTGAATTTTATCTTTGCATATGCAGCTTACTATTTATCAACTAGTATCTAATTTCTGTCTTTTTTATTAGTAGCTGTAGCTTGGTGCCTTGTCTTTTTAAAAATCCATAACAGTTGGGTCATTTGGTAGTATCTGCATTATATTATTTTTCGTTTTTGTTCACTTGCATTAAATGAACCTTGTTTTGAATGAGGGCATTATTCAATCAAATGACAAGCTGATTATCGTACCCTTATAATTTTATTTTGCCAATTCTCTATCTTCTTACTTCTGTACATGGCATTAATTTGGTTCACTTGTTATTGTAAGATTTTAGATCATTTCGAGTTTAATGGATGGCATGGCATCAACTGTCCTGTTTAATTTTAAGATTTTGAAGAATGAGATTAGGCTTGCTTTTACAGTTTTACTTCAGCAATTTTATAGATTGTTGGATAAGGTGAAGCCTGTTTAGTGGGAGAACATACTTTGCTAACTGTGGTTAACATACTTCATTTCATTCAGCTATTTCATTCATTGCATGCCTCTAATTTATTTATTTTTTTGGTAGTTTGGTTTATATTTCTTATTCACAGGGTGATTAAAATAAGCAGATGTTCTCTCAGTTTTTTTTCCCTGTATTTAATCGAGCGTTCCTTCTCTTGGTATAGGACACACTCCAAATGTGCGGAAATAGATATGTCCTCTTTAATAACAAGACGAAGGATAACTACCAGAAATCTGAACAGTTGAAGATACTTCTTTCCCTTGTAAATGAAGTTGTAGATAAAAATGGTGGAAAACCATACACAGATAAGCTATTTGTTGAATTGAAGGTGAGTGTTTTGTTGACGACCTCTTCATTGCTCTGTTGCCCAGTTGATTTTAAAAGCTGATACTGAAGTTTGTGATACCAACTTTGTTATTGACAGAAGGGAGCCATGAAACTGCGTGATCAAACTGCAGAAGTTAATTCGATGGAGGGCTACTCAAAGCAGGAGATATCAGTATTCAAGGAGCAGTTTAATAAATCGTATGAAGAGCACCTTAGGAGAATAACCGAGATGGTATTTTATGGTTTTCCCTGTTTGCCTGCATACTTGTTCTATTATTGTTCAACTTATGGGTCTAAATTTCTAATACAAGTAATCATAAAAGTAAGATTACGCATTAGTTTCCTGCTATTATTCTTGAAGAAGTAAACAGTTCGTTAATGAATTGAAAGTCGGACAATTGAAATTAATTATTCCTTTGTCTAATATGTTTTTTCACTCTGGCAACTGGCACCAAACTTTAAGTTTGTTTACAGTACAGAACTTGCTATGTCTATCGGTGTGAATTGTGATGGGCTGTTGTGAAACATTTTGCTTTGCTTTGTGTGGAAAATATTGTTTCATAGGTTGAGTCGAAGCTAAAAGAGACCACTCAAAGGCTTGAACAGCAATTGGCCGAAGAGCAAGCTGCTCGGTTGAAGGCAGAAGCAAATGCGCAGGCTGCTCAGGTGAAATCTGATGATGAAATACGTAAGCTGAGAGAACATTTAGAGCAAGCTCAGAGGGAGACTGAGGAGCTGCGAAAGCAAGCCGTCGGTGGCAAATGTTCTATTTTGTGATGATGATGATAATGTATATATTTGGAGAGAACTACATCTGGACTTACAAAACTTGAAGTGTGTATCCCCAGCTCTCCTTTTACTTTCATTCTGTTGCTGCGAAGGATGCTATTGTTTTATGAGTTTTTCGTAAAGTTCCTATTCGATATTTATTTGTTTGTGATGGTGGTTATCCTGTATATTTGGCTTATTTGTGAATGTCTTTCAGTTTGGTGAACGGGGAACCGTCAGCCAATCTTCTGGCTTGTTCATGAGACTACACTGGTTAACACGGTCACTTAAATAGCTGAAACAAAATTCACGTCGCCCCTAAGCATCAAAGTTTTGAGTTTATAGGTTCATTATTGTTTGTTTGTAAAGGTAGATTCTATATTTGACGATATTAATGAACGGAAGCGTACCAAATAATTCCGTACCAAATCTCATTTTCTTCCCCGGTTCGATTTTGGTCGGTGAACTGTTTTGAAGTACTCGAGTAGGTTTCACAGACATGACAGGTGAGTTGTAAACTAAGAGTACTTAATCGTACAAGTGTACAATGTTATTTTTCTTTATACGTTATGCTATTTGTACAAAGTTGGTAATATTAAAATTTAGATTTTAATTTAACTCAAAATTAACAATTAATTTTAGCTACATATTTAATAGAATTCATAACGTTTTAACTATACATTTCATCAACTTTTATTAAAATCTACTAAAAATCTAATTTTAATCTCTGCCAAACAAGGGTTAAGTAGCATTAATCTATAAAAAAAAAAAATACTAGAAATATGCACTACAAACTGGTAGAAAAAAAAGAAAAAAAAAAAGAAAAAGGAACCGCTACTTTATTTAAGTGTTTTTTTAATAAATTTTTTTTTTTTTTTATCTATTTTCAAGTAAAAACTTATTTTGATAAAAGATAAAAATTATGACCTCTCGTCTTCTTTCCTATTAAAGGCCATTTAAAAATGGATTAATCCATTTGTAAATTGTACGTAAGAAAGTTTCACAGAAAATAGTTAGAACACTCGTGATATGGGGCTCATCGTTAAAAAAATTGTTAAAAAAAATACCCTACCCGCCTTCCTCTGAGTGTTTTCTGACAGATAAGCCTGCTGTACAATAAGCAAAACCTTTTAAAAATTTCCTCAATTTCTAAAGTATTGCGGGCATGTGAAGTCTGTTAAAGGAAATAAATCTCACATCGATAAAATATCGAAATAATGACTATTTTATAAAGATCTTGGACCACTCCTCTTAACAAGGTTGACCTTATTAAGATGAATTTTAAATTTTAACATGGTATCAGAGCCCAATAAGTTTCAACGAGCTATTCGATCCGATTAAGTCTAAAAAATGAACACACGAATTTCAAGATTGGCCTGCTCAAAAAGAGCCACCATCTTACGGGGGCATGTTAAGGGAAATAAATCCCACATCGATAAAATATCGAAATAATGACCAATTTATAAAGATCTTGGACCTCTCCTCTTAACAAGGTTGACCTTATTAAGATGAACCCCAAATCTTAATAAAGTCATCCATTTCTCTTCCAGTACTTGTTTCTACTGTCATCTGTCTTTTCTATTCTTCCAATCTCTTAACGAAGTCAGTTTCTATAATAGCTGTTGACACATAAAAATTCAGCCCAAATCGAACGGCCCAAGGAATGAAACCCAATTGGAGGATCCCCAAATCAGATAGCCAAAAGAACGAAGCCCAATCAAACAATTCAAGATGAAGGCCCAAGAATGCGGTAACACCATCGCCCAAGTTTGCAAGTCGCCCAGAATCTGAGCGAATGGAGTGCCATGCAGTCGCCCAGAGCTGTTACTCTATTCTCGCCCAAACCTTCGAATCGCCCAAGGTCTTAGCAAACATAAAGTGTTGTGGATATCAAGAAGTGCAGTTATCAAAGTAGTTATTAAAGCAGCCCTATCACGTTCCACGATTCAAGGAATTCAATCGAAAACGGTTGAACGACGAAGAGTAATGGTAGCAGTTAAAAAAGGTAGTTCCATGACAAGTTGGCCATTACGAGGAAAGTGAGCAGTTGTAGAACGATCAAGCAGTTTTTAGGCGGTTGATCACAAAGAGATCATTCAGGGAGTATAAAAGGAAGAAAAGACATAGAGCAAAAGACCGAATAAAAAACTCTCGAATAGAGAACATGTAATTTTAAATTCCTTAACTTAGATTTAAACACTGCTTTCAGTAACTCGTGTGCTTGCGCCTCTTGGAGACATTCTGTTTTTAATTTCTGATTGTAAAGTCACCGCCAATAAAGAACACCTCTTTTTGGGACTTTATCTCAAGAGGTTTGTCCCTTACACAATAATGAATATTTTATAAAGATCTTGGACCACTCCTCTTAACAAGGTTGACCTTATTAAGATGAATTTTAAATTTTAACATGGTATCAGAGCCCAATAAGTTTCAACGAGCTATTCGATCCGATTAAGTCTAAAAAATGAACACACGAATTTCAAGATTGGCCTGCTCAAAAAGAGCCACCATCTTACGGGGGCATGTTAAGGGAAATAAATCCCACATCGATAAAATATCGAAATAATGACCAATTTATAAAGATCTTGGACCTCTCCTCTTAACAAGGTTGACCTTATTAAGATGAACCCCAAATCTTAATAAAGTCATCCATTTCTCTTCCAGTACTTGTTTCTACTGTCATCTGTCTTTTCTATTCTTCCAATCTCTTAACGAAGTCAGTTTCTATAATAGCTGTTGACACATAAAAATTCAGCCCAAATCGAACGGCCCAAGGAATGAAACCCAATTGGAGGATCCCCAAATCAGATAGCCAAAAGAACGAAGCCCAATCAAACAATTCAAGATGAAGGCCCAAGAATGCGGTAACACCATCGCCCAAGTTTGCAAGTCGCCCAGAATCTGAGCGAATGGAGTGCCATGCAGTCGCCCAGAGCTGTTACTCTATTCTCGCCCAAACCTTCGAATCGCCCAAGGTCTTAGCAAACATAAAGTGTTGTGGATATCAAGAAGTGCAGTTATCAAAGTAGTTATTAAAGCAGCCCTATCACGTTCCACGATTCAAGGAATTCAATCGAAAACGGTTGAACGACGAAGAGTAATGGTAGCAGTTAAAAAAGGTAGTTCCATGACAAGTTGGCCATTACGAGGAAAGTGAGCAGTTGTAGAACGATCAAGCAGTTTTTAGGCGGTTGATCACAAAGAGATCATTCAGGGAGTATAAAAGGAAGAAAAGACATAGAGCAAAAGACCGAATAAAAAACTCTCGAATAGAGAACATGTAATTTTAAATTCCTTAACTTAGATTTAAACACTGCTTTCAGTAACTCGTGTGCTTGCGCCTCTTGGAGACATTCTGTTTTTAATTTCTGATTGTAAAGTCACCGCCAATAAAGAACACCTCTTTTTGGGACTTTATCTCAAGAGGTTTGTCCCTTACACAATCGTCTGATCCTTTTTTAATTGTTAGCGACGAACACGCCCGAAATAATTTGGCACGCCCGGTGGGACAATGGTGTTTGGTGTTGAAAATACAAAAGTGAAACAATATGCCTCAAAGATCCGGTAAGGAAGCAGCAAGTCAGGGAGCAATCCAGTCTGTGATCGAGCGATATGAGGAGCAGCATGCCTCTCCACGAACAGGTAAATCTTCGAAATATTCATAATATGAAAAGATTTACCCAAAATAGGAATGCACATTATGATAACATGGCCAAGCAACTAAACACTTTGAACGAAACAATGAATAAGTTAGTAGGCCAAATATGTCAACCGGTTATACCTCTTGCACATAACTTTCAAACTAGGACAATTGTGGGACATAATCCCTCAGTCCTAAATCCGAATCAAAGGGTAGAACTACTTTCTGGTCCCTCTACTTCAAACCAAGGGGGTACTGCAGTGCCAAATCAGAACAATGGTAGTGGTACGCCTAATTTGGGAGGTAATCCAAATATAAGAGATAATGTCCTAAACAATGGACATAATACCCCACGTGTTAATGAGGGAATAGATGTTCAGGGTAATGGTAATGACCCTAATCATGGTAACTTTGTTGCCAATCAAGGACCAGACATCAGGCCTCATACAAATCAACCGGTTAACCAACCTGTAGGAATTCCATATGACCCCAACGTCATGTTGAGGAATCAGATTATGGAAATCGTACAGGATCAGATGGCTTTTGGGGTACGTCCCGTCATTAGGCCGACTTACACAAAGCCATATCCTGATTGGGTAGACCAAGCATATCCATGGCCTAGAGAGTATAAAGTGCCAGAATTCTCACTGTTTACCGGTTTAGGAGAGGCGTCTACTCTAGAACACATAGGGCGATTCACATTGCAAAGTAGTGATGTAACCGATTACCATAAAATGAGGCTTTTCCCTAGTTCCTTAACAGGAGTAGCTTTCTCTTGGTTCATCAACTTGCCAGCGAACTCTGTTCAAACATGGCAACAATTGGAATAGTTATTCCACGCTCAGTTTTATAAAACTGAGTCTGAAGTCACTTTGACTGATTTGGCGAATCTACGTCAAATGCCAAACGAATGGGTAGAAAGTTTTCTCCAAAGGTTCAAGACAGCAAGAAGCAAGTGTTTTGTACCTCTGCCCGAAAAAGAATTTTTCAAAATCGCTCAGGGCTATTTGAGCATTGATTTAAAAAAGAAATTCCAGGACAAGGAATTTCCTGACCTTTTCCAGTTGAGTGCGAATGTGATTAGGTATGAACGATTGATAAGAGATGAAGAGCAGATGAAAAATTCTAGTAAAGGGACTTATTACAAAGACCCAAATTTTGACGTTCATACCATCAGCGACGAGTCATACGATCAGACCGAAATGTGTTTGGCCGAATTGGTCAAAAGAGATACGTATACTTGTCCTATAATGGCCAAGCCTAGACCATCGGGCAAAGATGAGCCCATGAAAGATGAAAACATAAAGGCTAGAACGTTCTCGTTCGATGTAACCAAAGCTGACCTTATATTTGATAAATTATATAGGGATAAGCAGATAAAGTTGAGCGATAAGCATAAATTGTCAAACCCTGAACAAATTAAGGATAAAAAATATTGTAAGTGGCATAATGCATGGTCACATTTGACTAACAATTGCTTGATTTTTCGCCATGTGTTGCAGGATGCCATTGAATCAGGACGAATTACGTTCGACGATAAGAAGAAGATGGCAGTGGATGAAAATCCTTTTCCACAACCACTTGGA